ATAAAGAATGAATCATGTTTCAAGATTTTTTTAGACCTATGAGACCTCTGACCAAGTTTAAGTACTGGGCTACTTGTGTATCATTTTAATGTTCACCTCACCTTGTAAGAAAAAAGAAAAATTTTTAAAAGGCACAGGCAGCTGGGCATGGTGGCACACTCAGAAAGTAGAGGAAGGAGGATTGCCTTGAATTGCAGGACAGTCTGGGCTACAAAGTGAGTTCAAGGCTTAGCTGAACTGCATAGCAAGACCCTGCCTAAAAAGAAAGAAAGACATGCGTAATAAATGTGTTTGCATTTGAATAATGGATCATCCATAAAGAGAAAGAAAAGTTTTTTGTAAAGGAAGGAAAGTAAGAAATAAAAAAGAAAGAAAGAAAAAGGAAAATGAAGGTTTAATGAATAATGCTGATAGTTGATACAAATTTAGAGATATGGTCATCTCCAAAAAGCTTCTGGGCTTAGCTTACCTCATATGTAATGAATGCTGATCCTGGAATGAAGCTCAAATGAGGACTTCAGAGAAACATATAAGGTCATATTGGCACAAGGAAGAGGCAGCTAAGGTCTGCTGTGGTGCTCCCAAAAAGAGGCATCTCTGGTATTCTCTTCTCAGGATCATTTTCTACTAGGTACAATCACTGGGATCAAATAGTAGAATCAAGTTTCCCACAAAATTCTATTTAATCATGGAATAGTATATTTGTGTGGGGTCTTGTGTTTTGAAAGCATTTCCATAAATATTTCATTTGATTTTGGAAAGCAGGTAAGAAGTTGTGTGTGATCACTCCCATGTTTATGTTAGTTATTGTTAAATGACTAGTGATCCCAGTCACGGAACTAGTATGACACAGACACAGGCAGAGCCTGGGAGCCAGTGCTCATTCTACTTCATTTACTTATGCACTCACTCATGAATTCATTCATTCAATCAGCTAATGAGGCCTTTGACTCAAAGACGACTCCGGGCCCTCAATATGCCCACAGTCTGTAATAAAGAGCAGAAAGAAAATTTCGTACCAATGATAACAAAAGCATGAAAAGAGTAGCTAAGGTACACATGCAAGGCTTCCAGGGAGGTCAGTTTTCCATCTGGATTCTAATGAAAAAGGATATCATCAGGCCCAGAACGTAAGTGGTGAGAAAAGCGAGCAACATAGGTCATCTAATTTTGGTCACGTACAAAAGTATGTCTGAATCCTGGCAGAAGCTGAGAGTACAAGATCAGCAGTGGCCAAATCCTAGACATGACTGTTCTAACCTGTAAGTCAAACTAAGGACAGCCAGAGGCTCAGGTTCATAAATATACTAATCTCCAAAAAACTTTCTGGGCTGAGCTCATGTCTTGTACAATAAAGCACCCTGGTGGCAAGTTTCATCTTTTAAGGCTGTGATGTCTTGAAACAGAATGACTCAAATTCCAGGTTTGAATGAGAAAATTGTTTGCTGTAGCTGAAGTATGTATACACACGTTTTCATACACCCACATGGACGGTTTATATCCATAATACTATATATAATATCTATATCCACATAGATTACACAAAATACAGACTCCATAAACCTCATACGCAGAGACATCTAAATGATGTGTATGTCCAGACGGCCCCCATGGGACATGTTCAGATAGAGATGGGTTGGTCACATAGGCTCTCCATGCAGGACAAACATCTGTCCTGTGTGCTTCAGACACCATTTGCCTGCAAAGGAGCCAATGAACGAGGCTGGACAACTAAATTCCAAGGTGCTCTGCTGTTGTGTGCACTACCAGCTTATTTGCATGATGCAGTTACCCCAGCCTTGATAAATAAAATTCTGTAGCCCTGGTGAAATTATTACTCTCTGCCATTTTTTGTACTCAAGCAGAAAATGTATTATTGATTTCTGATTCAACCACAGAAAATGCGAGTTACAGAGAAGCGCACTGAATGAGGAGTTACTAGATTCCCCAAACCTCTACTATCACCACCCCAACCCCTTCCACTGTCCCACTACTGCCACCCACGCTAGGGCTGTTGACCTTGGGGGACAGACTCCACCTCTCTGAGCTTCAGCTTCCCATGTGTTAAATAAGAGGCAGGCTAAGCATTCACTGTGCAGTCTTTCCAGCTCTAAATCTATCTATCCATCCCCAACCCCAAGATTTAGTTTCTTTTAAGCTCTAAAAATCAAGACTATACAAACTGGATTCTGATTATTTCTGACCAAAGAAAATCCTACTTCATTTCATTTTTAAAAACCAACCGAATCTTGCATAATTTAAATAAGTACTGTCGCTGGTTGCTCTGGTTTGAATTATGCATTGTCCCTATTTGGAGAAAATTTAGACTGGGTCCAGTCTGGGATCACTGGCTGAGAACAATAAGCCCCTAAAGTGAGAAAGATAAAGGCCTCTCCAGACAGAATCTGCTTTTACTGCACTGAACTCAGGATTTACTCCCCAAAAAAGCATTGATTGTGTACATTAAAGAGCCACAACAGCAAGAGACTGGGAGGGGTTGCAGCCAATTCTCCTGGAAGCCACTGACCTTGGCTGCATTTCAGGGGTCAGGCATTCCCAGGAGGAGTCAGGCATTCACAGGAGGCTTCTTTAAGGGCGTAAGAGCAAATGAGACATTTTATCTCAGGAGGTCCACCTCTGCAAATTGGGGAAGCCTGAGATGACCAGCCCTCTGATTCATAGAGCTCACCTACTGGCCTTTGGAACCACTCCAGCCTGCACACCTCACCCACCACAAGGCTGGTGGAAGAACCCTCTTTCCATGGGATGCAACTGTTCCCACATATGCATTAAATCCTCCAGCTAGCAATTCCCCAGGCACTCCGAATAGCTGTTGTGCAGCCCCACTCCCCACCTCTACGTCTTTGTACTGGTCAGGGTAGACAGAGAACTAAGTGAGCAGTCCAGGCCCAAAGAGCAATTTCACTTAATTATGTAAAAATACCTTTTCCAAACACAGATTGTGGAGGACATGTCTCCCTAAGTGTGAACTGCCCGGAAGGTGGGCCTGGCGAGCCCCCAAAGTTGCTCCCCACCTGCAGGTACTGTGTGTGGCATCCCCAAAAAAACCTTCTCCAGGAAAAAAGCACAAGAGACAAGTCCCAGCCCAACTTAAAGTCACACCAGAGAGCTTCCCGTTAGAGGAGCACCATTGAGATTCCAGCTCAGAGAATCACAAGCCTAACCCATTGTTCAGACCCCATTCCCTTAGCCACTCCCCTCCTCCCCTAGTCCCCCGCTATCCATCCACCTGATTAACCTGCCAGCAGCAACTCCTGGTGCAGAAAGTAGGGCAAATGAACGCAGTCAGTAAAGCAGGCAGCCAGAGACTGGGCCAAAGCACCCACCCTGTTACCAACCCCCACCTCCAGCTGCCCGGAGGGCAGCAGGCTCTGGATGTGGCATGCTGGGCACTAGAGAAACAGGCAGCTTACTGTAATAACGCATGAATGAGCTGTGGCTGCCCAACGATGAGACAACCACTGTCAAATGGCACCCTGTGCTTTTTCAGCTTGGGTACTGCCTTGCAGAAATCTCACCTCTTGCACCCACGGATTACAGGGAAAGGGGAAAGGCTGAGCAAAAGAGGTTTACTGAGGCTAAATAACAAAGTATCTCTTTGATCAAAGAACTAACACTTTAGAGTATCTGTGGATTTAAAGAAAAGGCACTGTCAGAAGCATCGAGATTCAGGTAAATGGCCTCAAGATTTAGCATCAGTCTAACAATATATCCCTCAGGACAGCAAGTGAACTTCCACCCATACCGTCAGTCTCAGAGCTGAGAGCCACCCCATGCACCACTATGCACTTGCTTTTTATTTTATTTTATTTTTGGCTCAGGAAAGAAAGAAGTCGTCCTCAGATTGATGGTCAGTGTTTCTCAGATGCCCGCTGCTGCCTCTGCCACCACCACCCCTCACCCTCTTCCTGGCAGGCAGTATCTAATTAAAATAGCAAGAAAGCTCTGTCCCCTTCCCAGAAGGAGTGTGTCTGAGACTGGGGCTCAAGGGTGGGAGACGTCGAGGCTGCATCTAGGGATTCCGGATATTCTGATCTCAAAACAACAGCAAAATGGATTCTATATCAGTGATGTCTTAGTCAGTGCAACGAAACGGCATCTGAGGTAATTCACGTGAAGGTAGCAGAGAAGCTGTGAGGCTGGGGGAAGGGAGGTACTCTACAAAGGACTGGCCACTGACACGGAAAACACGCGCGCGCGCACTCACACACTCACACACACACACACACACACACACACACACTCCAGGGAGTTCCGGTCTGATTGGGGTGAAGCTGCAAACACATCCCTTTCACCTGCCGAAGTTCAGCCATAAAACTGAAATGTCACCACCACAAAGTCAGAAAACACAAGGCAGGGCTGAGTTAAACCCATAAATAAAGGTGAGCGCAGACTGGCGTGAGAGGGGCGCCGAGAGGCAGCCGAGAAGGGGGAGGGGGCGCAGTCGCCCTCGGGGAGCCCAGCAGAGCCGGAACCGGCCGCTGTGGACCGGCAGGCTCGGCTCGCGGGAACCGCGGGCTCCCGATGTCATCTTGCAGGTAGCTGGAAAACGCGAGGGGTCACTGCCTTCATTCACGCAGGGATTCTTTTTTTGCAGGAAGAGACAGGCAGGTCTCGCGCCTTGGGCACGAGACGACTGCCCGGGGCGTGTACACACACACACACACACACACACACACACACACACACACACGAGCCTTTCGTTTTAATGCTCTTACATCGGTCTAAGAGGAAAACGGCATAAGCTCCACGAGCCCTCGGAGACCAAAGGAAGTGCACGTACCGCACAGCCCCTGCCGGGGGGCTCCGCGCACAGCGCCTCAGCACCCCTGAATCCAACCCGAACCCGAACCCCTCCCGGGAGCATTCTATGCTGCTGCCCACCAACCTCGGCCCAGCCCCAGCCCCAGTGCACACACTGAACCCACTCACCCCGACCCAAACCACTGGAAAGAAATCAGAAAGCACGCTCTGCTCACCCTCAGAGCTGAGAGATCGATCTCATCCAGACTGCGAGCCGGGGAGTCGCTCGCCATGTCTACTTCTTCGCCCGGAGAAATGGACCAAAGCCACCCCGAAGCTTCTCCCTTGGCAATTCCACCTTGGTCTATTTCACTCGCGTCCTCCTCATGCGGGTGCAGCGTCAGAGGCCCGGGGCCCAGCCTCCCCCGCCCACTCCAACCCCACGGAGCCCGAGCTCGACCCTCCTCTCTGGACGGTCCGCTGGGTCCGGGAGCCCAGCGTGCACGGATCTCCAAGCCCGGAGCCGCGGTGCGTGTGGGCTGCGCGCCCCGATCGGCTAAGGGCGCTGGGGCTGCGTGGGTGTATTTAAATGGGACATGCTTCTTTGCTTGTGCGTGGATGGCGGCTGCATTGGCTGTTATAATGAGACACATCAACTCCTCCACTCAGCTGAGGGGTGGGGGTGGAGAGCCGCACAGAGCTGTCCATCACGGCTTCCTGGGAGGAGTGAAGCGGGTGGAGGAGGCGTGGTCTCTGCCTGGGGAGAGGCCGCGCTTCCTGACCCGGCCCCTCCACGCCGGTGCGGGTGGAGGAGGGGCGCGCACCCTTTCCGCCCGGGCTTTTGCGGGCTGCACGGCCTGGATCCCAAGAGCTGTTCCGGAACCTTGACGTGCTTAATCGCAGGGACCCAAGCTCTATTTTTGTGTGTCCGATTTGTGCACTGCAGCAAAATGGCCTTTCAATCGCATCTAGGGGTTTCTTGGCGGGGTTCGAAAGCTACAGAGCTGGAAACAGAAAGCCAGAAGGAGGAAAATATCAGTGACTCCCTCCTTCCCCCATTAATTATTGGTACGGCTGGAGTAAGGCGGTTTGGTGCAACCAGTGCATATAAGGACTTGTGTGCTGGGAAGGGGATCCGCCTCCCGGGCCGAGCGAGTGAGGCACAGAGCGCGCAGCCTAGCGTTTCCAAGTGCGGCGGCCTCAGGGTCGGTTCCTTCCTCCGCAGCCGGGAGGATCCGGACTGCGGGCTCTGGACACCCGCCCTTAGCAGCTTTGGGGCTGGGAAGGTTTGCCCGCAGCGGGCAAGCTAAGAGACCTGAACTCGATCTTGACATCGCCACACCCAGGACTCGCTAGTGCTGCAATTCCCCACGGAGACGACCAAATTGAAACAAGAAGCTTGTCCTCTGGGTACAGTGGCTGGAACGCTCCAGGTAACTCCAAAGCCGAGGCCAGGTAAGGCAAAGCGCGCCACCTCGGGACCCAGCAGCGCTGCGCTGACTATCCAGATGGATGCAGACAGTTTAGCTGGCGGTTAAGTGGTAGCTTGGGAGGTGGACACGTGAGAGCGGCTTCATTGTATCCGCTTTATCATTTAAAGGTGGGCACTTTACCGAGGTAAACGTGACATTCTGTAATCAAGAGTGTGAAGTCACTTCCCTCAACCTCCCCGGGCAGCCCTTCTTCTGCAGCCGTGAATACGCGAAGTACTTTGGAAGAAAGCGCGAAAACTGAACTATTTCCCTTCAAAACAGCAGTGACCCTGCAAGCATACTTTGCACTCTGTGAAGAGAATTTACTCCTGGCCCAATGCATTGCGGACTTTTTAAATCACGTGATGTGGAGATGCGCTTCTGAATAAGGCTTTTGAATGAGTGAACAGAAGTCAGTGCAATTGGTTCTTAAAGACTCAGACATTAGAGGACTTTCAAACAATAAGCGTTCGGTGTTTGCTGTGCTGTTTGTTCATAATGTTTATTTGTATGCCTTGCGGACCATGCATCGCAAAACCTGCAACATCTCAACGGCACCACCAATTTGGGAACTTTTGACTTTAAACGTCATGGGTCAAATGCTCAAACGTTTTACATTTAAAATGCTGTGCTTGACTTTTATAATGAAACTACCCAGCTCAATATATTAAGTAGTGTGAGTAAGCCTCCGTGTTGGAAAACCTGGAGTTTGCCATAATGACCATTTTCAGCCCTCCTGTGTTCTTTCTGTCTTTCATCTAGACAGAGAGTTAACATATTGCCTCCGTGTGAAAGAAAATAATTTCAGATATTGAAGCCCTCAAACAAAATTATTTTTAAAACTTCAAATGTTGTAAATATGAACTTTTTCGTTCTTTTGTTTTGCTTTGCTTTGTTTTTTCCCCTGAGAATCTTCATTTTACACCCCAGACTTTATCTTACCCCTCACGAAAAGACACGTTTTTTTCCACGGTACTACCCTGCTTTGGCCATAAAGATATCTTGATACTGAGTGATACTAAATTTAGACTAAGATTAAAGAATTATAAGTGCCCACAGAGCTAGGTACTAACAGAAGGGCTTCCTGAGGGCCTGAGAAGACATGGAAGAAGCTGGTGGGGCCATGGGTGCCGGCCACAGAGGTGCCATAAAATGAAGGGCTAGCATAGCGAGTGACCTCCAGTTAGTGAGGAAGAGGAGGAGTCCCAGCCTTTGTCCAGGTAGAGGTGCAGCAATGATGGTGACTCCTAGAACTGGGGAAGAAAGCAGAAGTCAGGTCAGGTCAGGTTGCCTGCCTCTTCCTTTCCGTCAAGCATATATTGAGTTTCAACTATTCCAGTACAAACATCCTAGTTTCTAGCTATTTCTACGCACTGCCTGTAATATGTATATATTGCTTAACAGTTTTCATTAAATCAACACTTTTTTCTGTAATTTAATTTTGAAAATAGAAATCACTACTGTAAATGGAAAGCTAGCAACACACGCTTTAATAAAAGAAGCCATTGAAATATATATATATAATGGAAAACAAAACAATGCTATTAAATTTTAGCCACCTGCCATTGCCTGTCCTGTGCTTCTCGCTTAGACCTGCTGTTTGTTTGTTAAGGGAGAGAATAGCAAATGTCAGAAAAGCCATTCAAGACGTGGCCAAAATGAGATTCTCCTGGAGCTATAATCTGAAGAACTGAGGGAGCTGATACCATTTATGTGCAGCTTGAACGCCTGTAGAGCAACACGCTGGGCTCTTTTATAGTTTCTGTAAATATGCAGTAAACCCTAAGAAGCATGAAACAGGGTATGATCAACTTCAAGATAGTGAGAAGAGAGGGAGTGGGGTGGAAAAGGAAGACAAATAGAAGCTTGCTACAGTGAGTAACTATTTTTAAAAGATCCCAAGTAACTATTGCTCAATATTGGAATTCTTACATCTAGATGGCTATTTATTGACTGTTTACTATAATAGTTTCTGTATCCCTAGATATTTGAAATACTCTTGTATTTTAAAAATAGTTAGAAAGAATCCACAAAGAGGTTTGGTGCTATCACATTCAATGTTATTTAATAGTAAACCATTGTATCAGTGAAAAAACACACTGTGAAAATCAGAACCATTTCCAAAAGCACACTCCATACATCTGTCGCCATAATTCTTTACACAGGGCAGAAAATATATTTTCAAAAATTCATTAGAGTTCTAAAAGACAGTCAGTAGTGGTGGCACTGGGATCCAGTGACTATTCTAGATTATATAAAACAAGCAAGACTGGATTACCAGTGATACCACAAACTAAAACTGTACAGGGTGATAGTAGGATGTCAGCGGCTTCAAGCTGAGAGACTGTGGCTACAAGAGAAGGTACATCATTATGGTGAGTGACTAAAGAACTGCATTAATTCATTCTTTACTCATTCAACAGGTACACAGAGCTCTCTTTGAAAGACAACATTAGGCCCCGCAGTTAAAACATGGGTACACAAAGTCCTTGCTTTCTTAGAGGCAAACAACAAACTTGAAAGCAAATAATTGATAACAAAGGTCATTTTAAATATGTAATGGTGAGTGATATGAAGAAAAGTTAGCAGAGTAATAAGACCTGCAATAAGGTTGACAGTGACTGCCGTCAACATCCAAGTATATAATTCAGTAATGATGAAGGCTTGAGCCAACGAGGCAGGGTAGCAAGCCAAGGAGCTGATCACTAATTTCCAGAAGTGGAACCCATCTACACACACAGAAGGAAACCGACTGCATCCTCTGCTCTACACCCATGTGTAGTCTGCGCTCCTCCCACCACAGTCAGCAAGGCAAGCATTCGGAGTCAGAATTGGCACCACAGGCAGGCAAGTAAAGATTCCGAGCACTAAGGCAAACAGATAAGGCGAAGTCACCAAGCATTTTTGGAAATCTATGACTATGAAAGACACCAACTTTAATCAACAAACAGCTTCTGCACCCAAAAACGTAAGCAAAAAGTTTTACAATGTACATATTTATGCTCAAAGGAATACTACAGGAGCTTACATTCATGAAATAAGGTAATGATAAAAACAAGTCAGAGGGTTAAGTGTATATTTATTGAAGTTAAAGATAAATACATTGAGTATGTAATTTTATGCTACAGATATTCTTAAGCATTTGCTATGATCTGAATCGTTATGTCTTCCAAAATTAAAATATTGGACCCTAACTCCAATAATGATGATATTAAGATGTGGAACTTTTAGGAGACCATTGCATCGTGGGTGAAGAGCTCTTATGAATGGGATTGGGCTTTATGAAAGAAGCCTGTGGGAGCTGTTTGCCCTTTTGCCATATAGGAAACACAGAAGATGTTATCCATAAAGAAGAGGCCCTCACTAGAAAGCAAAAGAGTTGGTACCTTGAACTTGCAATTTCCAGCCTCTAAAATTATGAACAGCAAATCTTCTTGTCCATAGATTACTAAATCTAGGGTATTTTGTTATAGCAGACCAAATGGATTAAGGCAACCTTCATATATTTGCATTCTTAATACTTATAATTTTATAAAATAAGCAACATCATTAGCACATTCATCGCACACATGAGCAAACTGAAGAATAAAAGAGGATTAATTTATCCAGGGTAACAATAGTAAGTGGCTGACCTGTGTTTGGAACTTTGGCCCTTCATCACCACATTGGAAACAATGCAGGTTGAACAGGAGTCAGTTAATAAGATAGAAGATTGGACCCAGTTTTCTTGTGGTTTGCAGGAAAATGGATTAAAGTAGGGAATAAATCCAGAAATTTCAATATTCATCTAATAATGGATCTAGATAACAGATGGAAGGAAATACTCAAAAGAAATGATATAAAATGTTCCAGTATCTTCAGGTTACAAGCTCTCATTTTTTGCTGAGCCAAATGCGTAAGTTCAAAATACCACACTTGAACGTGTGGTGCCTGAATTTCAGAGCATGAAGCCCAAAGACAATGCTAACTAGTTTATCTGCTTCTCATCAGCAACAATGGATGTTAATAGATGCTAGAACCAAATATTCTAAGGGAACTGTTTTTACCATAACCTAGAATTCTCTACCAGCTATATTAACATTTAAGAAGGATTATAGAATAATCATACATATTTTCAGGCACATAAGATTCAGATGGCTGATCATCTCTGAAATTATTATTAGAAAATGTGTTCTACTGAAGAGAAAATTAATTCCAAAAAGGAAATGTATGACATAAAAGATAATGACGAGCAAAACCTGTAAACTTTTTTTTTCTGGTGCTGGGCATTGAATCCAGGGCCTTGCACATGGTAGCTAAGCACTGTATTCTCTTCCCAGGAAACTATTTGTTACCAGCTCAAAATCACTCTGCTTCTTCCTCACACTTAGAATCCTGCTAATGTGTTGAGAACTTACTCTCCATATGTTTAAAGCATATGAGCTACCCCCTCCACGGGAAGGGTGAATGCTAAAGGGTCTAAACTTAGGGCAATTCTAATCTGTCTCCGAATAGTTGGTTTAGACTGGGTGTAACACACAGCACTGATGAATGAGAAGTGAAAAGAGTCTGGTGAGGGTTATAGGAATGGCTTTCCTCTTTGAATATTTTTTAAAGAAGAAAAAGGAGAGAGACAGAGAAAATGAGAGAGTATGAGAATGAGAAAAAGATAACTGCATAGAAGAATCTTCCAGCCTGGGGTAGGTAAGGCGAAAATGGCCCTGATCAGCTTCTCCTCCTGTATTCACACCCCTGCGTGGATCCTGCTAGTAACAAAGATCACAGAAGTTAGTAATAAAAGGCATTTTAGCTTTCCTCTTGCTCTCTTAGTTCACAAATGCTGCAGTGGGGTTTCTCAGACTTAGCAGTGGTGACAGTTGGAGCCTGAGATTCCCGCTGCATGAGGCACTTTCCAGCACAGTGTAGGATAGCTAGCAGAATCCTTAGTCCCAGTCAATAGGAGTCAATAACATCTTCCCAGGTGAGCCAAGGAAAAAATATCTACTTGTCCCCTGGTAGCAGTATCACCCTGCCAGAGAACCACTGCCTGGAGGAACTGGTCACTGTGTGCTGCAGGCCTTCACATGTCCTGCCAGCCACAGGAATGAGCTACCTTCAAGGATGCTGCAGTCGTAGTCACACCTTCAAATAGCGCAGTCCCAGCTCATTCGGGCCGCAGCTTCAGGAGAGGTCCCAAGTCAGAGCCTCTCAGCCGAGCTGCACAACAGTGATGCACAGAAGGCACAAGAGATAATAAATTCTGTAGTTCTTTTAAGCCTTTGGATTTCTTCCTTTTATTAAATGTCATGTCACTTTTATTATTGTGTGGTGGGCCTGTCCTGGGATTTTAAAAATTAATTTATTGTTGTACTTTTGACATACATAATGATCACATTCATCATAGGGAATTCATACCTGTATGTATTGTATCCTAAATCTTTGTTTCTCATCCCTCCCCTTCCCTTCAACTCTTCTTCCCCTCTTCCTATATACAATTTCATTTCTATTGTAGTCATTCCTTCATTTTTATTTTTAAATCTCTATTCCCTGCCTTTTCTCCACCTAACCCCCTAACCCTTGTTTCCTTTCCCATTGAACATTTTCTTCCTGCTTCCCAATAGTGGTCAACCTTGGGTTTCTCACACAAAAGAAACAATGCAACATTTAACATGAGTGTCTCATTTATTTCTTGTAACAATATGGTTTCTTTTTTTTTTTTGCAGGCACCAAAATGCAGAAAATGTTTATTTGACGACAGTAGATTGTGTGTCCATTACAACACACAAGGCATTGAAAGTTTAAGATTGCTGTTATATACAACCATGTGCAGTTGTTACTGCACACATACACGTGGTTCGTGACAGGGCAAACCGATGCGGCAGACCTTCAGTGAGTGAGGATTGAGGCAGAGAGCAGTCGTAAGTCACCCTGAGTCCTGGAGTGGAGGTGGCAGATTTCACTTGAGGTTTACTGTAGATTGAGACTAGTGAAAATGCAAATCCCCATGGCTTTTATAATACGGCTGCAAAATCTAACATGGCAGTTTTATAATATGGCTGTGATGTATATTACATGTTTGATTTAAAGATTTTGAACATAAGAAAAGAGGTAAACACATACAGATTGTATTATGATGATCAAGGCTGCGTGCTGCAGGACAAAAGCAAAATAAAACAAATTGATAAAGTAGCTGTAGCTTCACCAAGAAAGGAACTTGAAATTTAAACCATGCTGCATATGCATAAAAATAATCTGTCCAATGGCTTATGCAAAGTAAATTGTGTCCCAGAATATCAAAAGGCCAACTAGTCAAGCTGTAAACTACCTTATTCTCCTGGTAAATATTTGGAGAAAACTTTTGTATAATAAGAACTGGCCCAACCTTGAAAGGTTGCAAGAAATAAAATACAGTTAAAAATAAATTCGTAATGCAAATCTGCATAAAACATGCATAGTCAATCTTACTACACAAACATTTTAAAAACCACATATCACATACAATATGGTTTCAAGGTGCATCTATTTACCTAAAATGTCTCAAGTTTACACTTCTTCACGGCAGAGTAGTACTCCATTGCATATAAAA